AATCAATCTATGGAATTGACTATCAAAACGCCTATGCTCAAGTGCTAAGATGCCTAGGGTTGAAGTACTCTTTTCTCTTGTTGCCACCCCCACCTTGCTGTCGGCAAGCTTCTAGCACCGTTCATTCACTGCTTCGTCTGCGGTCCCCTCCCACCAGGTGTTGATCTCGCCAGATCAACACAACAGCCACCAATCCGCTCCTCATCAGCCCCTACTAATCCTCTCCCCCTCCACCAGCAGACCGCCAGCCCTTTACACAGTGACCACCACACCTCCTAACAACACCTCCCAACTGTTCGGCAACACCTTCGGCCTTCTCCAGCAGGTCATTCTACCTTCCAGGGTGTCCCAACCACTCGTTCACCTCCACCAACGCCCCCAAGCTGCGGTCAAGCCCTTCTAGCTCCTTTCAACGGGTCTCCAACCACCAACCCTCACTGTCACGCCAGACCCGCCACCTTATAGGACTCTTTTTCTCTCCTGCTTGGTCTAATTCCGCAATTGTTATTTCATTTGTTGCTTATATGTTATTTTGTTTGTTGATTATGTATTATTTCATTTATTGTTTATGTGTTATTGTTTGTGAAAATTTGTCATTGTACACGTTTTAAAATTCAGCAATAAAATTTGTCGCGTCTGATTCATGTTTTGGGTTAACTCTGGTATCAGCCTTTCTAAATATAAACTTAAAAAATAAAGTTTATATAATAACCCACCTGGACTCGAAAATACTAACAATACAAACCAAGTTTGAAGACTCAACAAGTTTTTATATAACTTAAAACAATTACCAATAATATGATTAGACAAATTTACCACGATAATGCAACTACGTTAAGCTCTTAGGAGGTTTCATCGCAATGATGGCCTTAATTTTGGTAAGGTCTATCTAAATTCCCCTATTATGGACGACAAAGCCGAGGAACTTTCCAAACGAAATGAGGAATGCTCACTTCAACAGAGTTCTTTTTAAGCCACACTCTCCAAGGCATCTAAAGACAACTCATAGGACAATTATGTGCTCTTCCTCTAGTCGGCATTTAATGACGTCTTCTATATAACACTCGACTTGTTTATGTAATAACTCGTCGAAGATATAGGTCATCGTATGTTGATAAGTAGCCCCGATATTTTTAAGGCAAAAGGGCATAAGCTTATAGCTACCCAAGCAAACTATTCATAAATGAGAAGATAGCTTTTGAAGAAAGTGCGTCTATCATAAGCTCGGGAATATGCAAAGGAAAATTATCTTTTTGACAAGCCTTATTCAAATCCAGGAAATCAATGCAAGATTGTATCTATCTATTTTTCTGATGAACCAGTAAGATGTTTGCCAACCAAGTAGAATAGGTTCCTCTCTAATGAACACTACATCGATAAGCTTATTGGTTTCATCAATTAAAAAGTGTAGATATTCATAAAAGACAAAGAAGCACCTTTATATTGTGTATAAGATATTAATGCATCTTAAAAGGCGCTTTAATAAGGGTTATTCCTTGAGAAAGAGAAAAATATAGAAGCCTTCACTAATGTTGAATTGAAAGGGTGTATATCACATGAAAAAGCAAAAAAAGTTCATTTCTATGCGGAGCAATGCTGGGGAAAAACTAAAGGCTATGGCTCACTAAATTTATGAAGGTATGTGGTTTTAATGTCTTCTTAAATATTTAAAAGTTTCCACTCCAAGACTGATAAAAATGAGATGTGATAATCTACTATCAACATTAAGAAGAATCCAATCCACTTTGATGGCAGGGGTGTCAAAAATTGACCCGACACGTTAACATGGCTCGAACTTGACTTAAAAAATCTGAGTTTGGGTTGACCCAAATATTTTTCAAGTCGGTTCTGATTCATAGAATTCGACCCGTTTATTATTCCGGTTGGGTTTGGGTTGACAAGATGTGTCGGGTCATTTTCGGGTCCAACCCAAACCCAATCCGCCGACCCAAATCAATATCTCTACTTGTCAAAAATTAACCCGATACGCCAACACGACTCAAACCAAACTCAAAAAAACTGGATTCAAGTTGACCCAAATATTTTTTGAGTCGGATTCGGGTCAGAGAATTCAACCCATTTATTATTCGAGTCGGGTTCAAGTTGACTTGATTCAAGTTGTGTCATTTTCGGGTCGGTCCCAAACCAAAACCACTGATCCGAATTGACACCCTTATTTGATGGCACAGAACACTCAGAATAATAAACTATTTACAAACAAGAAAATTAAATAATAAATTATACAAAATTAAATAATAAATTCCAAAATAGTTACATTCCAATAAAACAAAAAACTATTGATAGCTCTTATAAAGCTCTGAGTCAATTACAATATGACAATCTTATTTCCAAGCATCAAATCATTAGCATATATTCTTAGCCATAAAGGGGAAATGAAATCCTGTAACTACAAAAATCACTCCAAATCATGAAGCGCATCTAAAAACTACAACCACTACACCATTGATTCCAGAAGTCTCTCCAATTATTGTCCTGCAAAATGTAATCCTTCAAATTACTTCAAGAAACCCATAAGCATGCAGCCAGCCAACTACGGGCCTCCAACTGTGACACTACCAGCTTGAAGCCTGCCAACGGCAGCCCAGTCATGGGCTGTCCGCCAGCTAGTGCCTCACTGAGAGCTTTCTTACTCACCTCCTGCTGTCCGCTGGCCTGCCCCTTGATTCAAATATAATTTCTTTGTTGCATTCAACCCAGCATGTGTTGTAAATGATTGTATTCATTTCATTCATGTTTTCCCTTCTACTTTAGGCCTATTATGGTTTGCATTTATTTCTTTATTGTCTTTTTCGCTGATTTAAGACTGAAACTTATGCTATAAATACTGTATCTCTTCTCTCTATTGGAAAAAGAAAATTTAATATTCTTCTCCTGCGCTTTTCTACACTAATGATCAATTCAATCAAATAAAATGGCACCCCATTTTGCAAATTTAACAATGAAATTTATGGCTATATCAAATAAAATGACGCCATATCTATATATATATATGGCGTCGGCAGGGGGCTCTGCTAGGGTTTCGCCCGATGGTGATTTCCGGAGCAGAAACTATTGGATTTACTTATTTCCTCCGTTTCGCACGTTGTCTCTCCAACCCGACGACGTAGTTTTTTGTTCGCCTTACTGAAGACGACGACGACGTCTTCCATTTCGCACGTCGTCTCCTAACCGACGACGTGATTTTCTGCTCGCATTTGCCTCATCTTGCAGGCGCCCGAAGACGATGAATTGCACGTCGTCTCCTAAACGACGGCGCGCCTCGCTTGTCCTGCCCGACAGACGTTGTTCGCACGTCGTCTCACAGAAGGCCTGGCAGATGGTTTGCATCATGTTCACCTCTTTGCGGCCCGCCAGACTATTTATCTCCTGACGTGACCATCTTGTGAGGGAGATGGCCTCGATGCTCCATTCTTATGCAAATGCCTTTGCCGGCGACTTACCGTTTCCTGCTAGTGCCCCTCCAGGTTCAGCGCCTGGTTTTGCTATTGGTAAGTCTTGCAATGTTCCAGAATATTTTCACGAGACTCTTAAAGGTGGAGGTGATCACACTTTTATTAAAAAACTTAGAAAAAAAAGGGAAGTCTGCACTTATTCTCACGGAGGTTGAAACCGGTACTCTCGCATCCTCTTAGCATTTTACTCTAGTGGGGAAATTCTTTTATGGTCACCCAAAACTGGAGATTATTAGGAACGAGTTTGATGCTATGAAACTATTGGGCAGTTGAAACATTGGTCTACTTGATGGTAGACATGTACTTATTCAACTATCTCATGATGCTGATTACACTCGCATTTTCTCTCGAAAAACTATCAAGATTGACAATCGTTTTATGAAAATTCTGAAGTAGACTGTTGGTTTTGATCCAAAAGTGGAGTCCCCTATTATTCCTGTTTGGATAAAATTTTCGGGGTTAAAATTACATCTGTTCAACATGGAAATCTTCTACTCTTTAGCAACTTCTTACGGGAAGTCTCTCAAGGTGGATAGTCCTACGCTTCCTGTCACTAGACCCTCTGTGACTTGTGTGTTAGTTGAGAGAGATATCACTCGACCAGCTCCGAATGAGATATGGATTGACACTATTCACAACGGACATTGACAAAAGGTTGAAATGAAACCACATCCTCCTTATTGCTTTCATTGTAGTATGTTTGGTCATAGCTCTACTATTTGTTATCGTTTGTATCCTCATCTAAGGTCGAATATCACTAAAAAACAACCACGTACTATCCCTATTGAGAAGATGCAATCCGATCTTCTTCCCAACACCGCAGTTCCTGAGAAAGAGCAATATACTACAGCTAAAGATCTAGTTGTGTTTATACCACCTACTGTTATTGAAGAAAACTCACTTACATGTCAAGACACATGAGAGATCCAATAACATATTAGCCGATACAACATGTAGATGCTTCTAATGTTCAACAATCTGCACATCTCCAACACACATTAGACTAAGATCAGATGAGTCAATCTTTGGAAGAGGAATGACAGGTCTTTTCTAGGAGGAAGAAGAAGAATGGAGGCCGACTCCAGCTCGGGAACATATTGGATGACTACTGGCAATGACAATCATCTTACCAACTTATTAGCTTGCTTCTTTCCAAGAACTAGAGGCAGAGACAAAACCAAATTGGGTTGCTCTCTAGCCACCTGATATTATGTATTTCAGTATTTTTAGGATTTTTCTTTACGTCTCTAATGTACTTTTCAGTATTTTCTAGTTTTGGAACACCTTCTAGTTTTGGTGTGGGCAGGGTTCCATGTTTGGGCCCTTCAATACATTGTATATGTATCTTCCTTTCTAGTTAATATATTAACCTTTTTTTGTGTGTGTGTGTGTGTGTGTGTGTGTGTGTGTGTATATATATGTGTGTATGTATATATATATATATATGTATGTATATATATCCCAAAGCATGTACCTTTAAGAACAAAATCACAAAAAAGCAAAGCATTGAATAATGTAAGCTCATACCATATGCATTGCCAATCTCATTGATACTTCCAAAGTTGGCAACTAGTCCCAGAGAAAAGACTAGCAAAAACCAGTTTATGACAGGAATATAAATCTGGCCCATAAACTTCCGGGATGTGTGTATTATTTTGAGGCGAGGAAAACAACCTAGAGCCATGGCTTGCTTTATGCATGAAAAGGTTGCGGTCGTCATCGTCCTGCTTGCAATCAATGCAGCTAGGATGGCCACAATGAAAACTGGCCAAAAAACTCCTCCTGAAGGAAGCAATTAAGAACTTTTTACTCGTCCCAAAAAAGTAATATAAATCAATTTCAGGATAGAATTTCTAACTAAGCTATACTCCATTGGTACGACATCCCAAAAAGGAAAGGGATAAATTATGTTTAAAAACCTATCTAATCGTAGTCCGCACAAAAACAAAAACAAATCATGGATACATGGAGCTTTCTAGATTACTTGGAATTGATGAAAAGAAAACGTGCACATTCTGAGTGGGATTTTCCAAGAGAACTGCAGCTTGGCCAAGGTAACCCAGCAGAAGGCAGGGCAGAACCAGAAAAAAGAAGGTCCGCTGCAAATTTACATAAAAATAATAAAAACTTGAAGGCAATCCAGAATTTCTAGTTTTAAGATGACAATAGTTACAGAGAAGAAAGGCCTTAATAAATGATTCATAATAATATACCTGAACCGATCTAACTGTGAAATAACAGAGGTCTGCAAACATGGCTTCAGAACCTGGGAAACAAGCAATAATAGGAATCATAAGAATACACAACAATAGTGAAACTACAAGAAAAGATTTGATCAGCAGGGAAGATGCTGTAAATTAAATGAAAAAATAACAGAGGCCTGCAAAAATGGCTTCAGCGCATGGGACACAAGAAATAATAGAAATTTGAAGTATAAACAACAATGGTGAAACTATATTAAATGATTGAATCGCATTAGCTAAATTCTCTTTTAGAAGAAGTTGAAAATGATAAAAAAAAAGTTTTATTGCTTCATATTAAACTAATACAGCATTATTATGTCCATCATTTTGAAGTTCAATTTGTCACAATGCCGACAAAATAATCATGCTATGGTTTCAGCATGGCATTGAAGTTGCAACCAATAAAGGTTTGGTAAATTTCGAATATAAAGTACTAGTTCAAATTAAATTTTTAATAAATATTATTAAAATTAAATTAATTAATAAATAAATATTATTTAAATTAATTATGTCCGTCATTATCATGTCTGTCATTTTGAAGTTCAATTTGTCACAATGCCAACAAAATAATCATGTATTATGTCCTTCATTTTGAAGTTCAATTCTTTGAAGTTCAATTTGTCACAATGCCGACAAAATAATCATGCTATGGTTTCAGCATGGCATTGAAGTTGCAACCAATAAAGGTTTGGTAAATTTCGAATACAAACTATTAGTTCGAATTAATTATTTAATAAATATTATTAAAATTAAATTAATTAATTAATTAATATTGTTTAAATTAATTATGTCCGTCATTATTATGTCTGTCATTTTGAAGTTCACTTTGTCACAATGCCAACAAAATAATCATGCTATGGTTTCAGCATGGCATTGAAGTTGCAAACAATAAAGGTTTGGTAAATTTCGAATACAAACTATTAGTTCAAATTTTAGCCAATGAAATCTTCTAGATTATTGGAAAAAAAACAATAATTTGGCAAAATACCGTATTGATAATATTAAAAAATTATAATATTAATATGCAGATTTCTGTATTAATTTCCTTGATTTGTTTTATTTACTTTCCTTTCTCCCTTTATTCTGTTTTTATTTCTTTCCTTACTAGTAGATCTTGTAACAGGTATTTAAAGCCCTCCTTGCATCAATAAGATTTCCTTGGATTCTATTCTAACATGGTATCAGAGTCATAGCCCTAACCTAGCAGCAAGCTAGGTCTGGGTCCATGTTAGTGCAACTGAAACCTTCGCTCTTCCTGTAGCCGGCTGGATCTCTACTCTCCCCTAATCCTGCTTCCAAGATCCCGTCTCCAGGCGGCCAGGTTCTTGACTCCAGCTTCAAATTTGATCAGCCAGATTCCCGTCTCCAAATTTATCGCAAGAACCAGGGGTCTAGCTTCAAATTTGATTGTAGGAGCCTTCTCCCAACCGGCCATTGTCAGGTTCTCATCTCTAGATTTATAGCAAGAACAACGGGTTCAACTTAAGATTTGATCGCAGGAACCTTCTTCCAATCGGCCAAAAGATCTCTTCCAACAGAAACCTATACCTTCCCTCTAGCAGTCGAAACCTTACAATGTCTCAACAATCTAACAACTCATTTGGCTCAATCAGAACCATGTCGGACTCCTCCAACACTGAGCTATCATCAGAATGTGTTTTTAATTCCACCGGAAGATCAATTCTAACCTCCGTTCTTTTGCAGACCAAAAAATAGGAAAACAATATGAACTTCTTGATCACAACTAATAAACTAAAAAACGGTAACTTTCCCAATGGTCACAATCTGTATCTTTATTCATCAAATTGCATGGGAAATTCGGTCATCTCACCGGTATAATTCGTGAACCTCTAAAAACTAACTTGGAGTATGGAACTTGGGAAGTAGAGAATTCTACGGTCATGTTATGGTTGATCAACTTCAAAACTTCGATTAGTCGATCAAATATGTTTCTTCCTTCCGCAAGTGCCCTGTGGACGGCAATCTGTGATACCAACTCGGATGTAGGGAACTTCAACCAACTCTATGAGGTGCCTAAAAAAATTTGTGAGGCAAGACAAGGATCTAGGACAGTAAATCCGGTACTATGATGATCTAGTTGCATTGTGGATAGAATGCGACCTATATTATGACTACACATAAGAATCTCCAGCAAATCTCTCTTTTCTAGAAAATTAAACAAAATGACCGAATGTTCCAATTTCTGACAGCCCTCAACAAGGATCTTGACGAAGTCAGGGGTCGTCTCCTTGGTCGGGATCCTCTTTCTTCTACTCGAGCTGATTTCATTGAGACTCTTCATGAAAAGAGCCAAAAACTTGTCATATTTGGTACTTCCGCTCCGTTTGTCGAAACATCTGCTTTGCTTCTAATAGCACTCAACCTCGGGCTGATCATCCCACATGTGATTTCTGTCATAAACCCAACAACACTAGTAATAATTGTTAGAAGATCCACGGGAAACATGCATCTAAACCTTCAGCCAAATCTTCTGTTGTCAAGGGTCTCGCTACGACATCCAAAATCCAACACGGTACAACCGATCTCTACCTAGAGCAGTCTGGAATTCTCAAATTTTGCTTAAAAGTCAAATGAAGTACTTAATCAAGCTGCTTGGATCCAGTTTGCTCTCTTTTGGCCTGTCGACTTCCCATGTTCGTCAAACTATCAATCCTATTGCACTCATTTATTGTGTCTTTTTTAGTCCATGAATGATTGATTTAGGTGTCACGGAGCACATGACTGGAAGCTCTCAAGCTTTTTTGACAAATTATCTATGCTAAAAAAAAACACTATTAGAATTGCTAGCGGGTCCCAAAGTTCCATTCCCCGTAAAGTATTTGTTATTTCAACAACATCCTAACCGTGGAATCTATGTTACAAGTCCCTCTGTTGAAGTGTAGCCTCTTATCAACCCTGTAGTTGCAATTCATCCCAGTCCACTGAATGCCCTATTATGTTGTTACACTGTAATTTGAGTCATCCTAGTTTCTAGTATCTAAAATAATTATATACGTTAATGTTAATAAAAATTCTTTTAATTTAAATGTGAAACTTGGTAATTAGCTAAACATCATCATGTTTCTTATCCACCCCACAATTACATACATTCCGCTCTTTTCTCTCTTATTCACAGTGATTTATAGGGACCCTCTCACACTTCTAGATACACCGATAAACGGTGGTTCTTTATTTTAATTGATGAACTTATTTGGTTGGCGTGAGTCTATATTTTAAAAGATAAACCTTAAATTGTTGTTAATTTAAAAAATTTTCACACATTCATTTCAACCCAATTCAAAACTCTTATTCAAGTACTTTTAACTGACTTATTCATAGTGATTTATGGGGACCCTCTCACACTTCTAGCTACACCAATAAACGGTGGTTCTTTATTTTAATTGACTTAATTTGATGCACTTCATTTAATTCTTGATCTGGCTCATCTAAATGTTACAATTTGTTGTGAGAACATGTAGGAACCGGGATGGTATTGTCTCAGTTAACAATTGAAAATAATCATATGATATTGTATGAATGAGAATGCAGTTCATATGATTGAGTGTAAATAAATAAAGAAATAATCTTTGAAAGGTGTAGAGTTAGAGAACTTTAGAGTGATAGACTAAAACCACCAATTTTGTTTATTATTTTAAGTTTTGACACCGTTGACATCAATTTTTGATGTCACGAATGTAGGGTGCTCATCTGCATAATCCCAGATAGCTTACGGCCTATCCATAGCCATCCAGTAATTAAACACCCACCTGAGACCTTGTGGTGCGTGTTGAGGGGCACGTTGCCGGGGTCATTTTGCTAGGCTTTGGCTTTCACTTAGGCGAAGGTCGGTCAGCATTTGATACGTGAACAATAATTATAATAATATAATATAATATAATATATAATTTATATATTATTATTTACGTTATATTATTAACTTTATATATAACGTTATACTGTTAACTATCATATATGTTATTAACGTTATTAACGTTATATTATTATATATTAATTTTATATTATTATTAATACATAATTATTAACGTTATAAAAGTTGAAAAGGGAAGCAGTTCTCCCTCTCGTGAACCCTATGCACGGAACCCGCCGCCACTCGCTTGCCTTGCTCCCGAGCTCGCCGCCACTCGCTTGCCTTACTCCAGCTCCGCTGGAAAGCCTTCCCCGCGGTAGATCTCGCCAGCCAGATGCGCCGGAGCTCTTCTTCGGCAGCCGTCTTCTGCGGCAGCCGCGCGCCGAAGTTCTTCCCTCCCGTCGGCCACCTCGCCGGCGTGTTTCTCAGTCGTGTTTCTCAGCCGTCGGAGCAACTCCCCTCACCGGGGTTCTCCTCCGCCGCCGAGTTTTTCCGTTTGTAGCTGACCGTCGTTCATTGTTTGAAATTTATTTTGTTCCGGCCGGTCCCCTTTTTGGTTCCTCCTCCTCGCCGGCTTACTCTCGCCGGAGTCAATTTTGTGACAAACCAGTCCCACTCCTGCCCATAACTTCAGATTTCGTGCGTTCCTCATTGCTTTTCTCGTTCCGGTTGCGTGCCACCGGCGTTCCACCATCGCCACCTCGTCGCCTCGCTTTTCCGGCGACCAAACACCTCGCCGGAGCATCCCGACGCAGCTGGGCAGTGGATCTCATCGTCGTTCGGAGCGGTGCAGGAATTTTGGACCGCGTGCAAAAGAGTTCCCGGACTTCATTGGGCTTCGTGCAAACTTCGCGACGATATAACTCCTCTTTCGCACTTTACTTTCTAGCTAGCCTTAGGTTGTAGTGGCGTTAGTCGTGCGAGTTCGATCGCCCACACGGGGTGCGTGTGCGACGCAGCTGTGCGATGGAATGCTTGTTTTCCTAGAGGCGGCCTTTAGGATAGGATTCTCCTTATGCAACCAAGTCCCCTAGCAACCAAGTCCCCTTATGCAACCAAGTCCCCTACGATAGCCGAGTGAATCCTGTTTGATTGTTAATCTTAGCACAAAAATCCTAAGGGTTGGAGCCTCTTTTGCTCCCATTTGCTTTGTTT